TTAGTGTCAAAGTCCATGAACTCTCGTAATGCAACGTTCTGAAACTGTAACAATGCGAGCTATGTCACCACGCAATTTTTAAATTTGCACGCACTTTGTTTTCTTACTATCAAACGAATTAGCTCTGATCTGTGAAATAAAGGAAGGTGATTCAACTCAATCGCACGACAAGATAACTACTTCAATCCTAAAGCTGCCATATATATATATATATATATATATATATCAAATGGCAGACATTTTGATGGTTATCGTTAGCCCTTTAGCTGACTTTGGGCTTCACAGAAGGGAGGAACATTAAAGCGAGAAAAATTAAGAGGAGGGACAGAAGAGCGATTCACAGATGTAAAAAAATGAGACAAACAGACACAAAGGCCGAGAAAAGGCAAGATGAGTACTGTGGAAGTGGTGGAATATGACATGTAGTGGGGTGTTGGTGGTTTAAAGTCAGAAGTCAACTGCCGATTAATAGACTTTTTTACCGTATGAGTATATGTTGCCCAGGGTGCACCACGTGGAAGTAAGTCTATTGCACCCCCCACAACATAAATATGATAAACTGTAGATTTTCTTTATAAACAGATCATTCTTTCACTTCCACTCCCCATGCTGTACTGGGCCCAGGTCTTTCCTTCATTACTATGACAGAGGCCGTTCTTGTTGCCGCTTTTTTAACTATAGCGCTAGACACGTGCGGTGGCATTGGCAAGGTGTATCAAATTTCCCGCTTTCCTATTTTCATAATCCGTGGGGCTCTATTTCGATTCCACATGTCCTTCACGTTATCATGGATAGGAGAAAAACTGTGCCCTGTGATATTAATCTTGGGGATTAGAGCGATATTTCTGATAGGTTTTATGGCTAGTTAATCCGAAGTTTAAATGTATTTTCAATTTAATTAATAATTGTTACGGAGGAAGGTTGCGCATTCTTTGCATCGTTCTGAGTGCATGCATCTATAATGATCTTCTCTCACCATCCCTATGCTCTATCAAGGTGTTTTCAATCCCCTTTGTAGTCCGACAACTTGTCAGATTCTCAAATGTCAAAATGAGTGAGTTTTGATCTACATTTGTTCAATAATGAAGACTCACATTAACTAATTTAAATTCATTAGGATTAATAATGAGTTCTTGAAATGATAGTGTATGGGTGATTTTGCTTTACCTAATTAAAACATATTTTTCAACCTGAGCATTTTGGGAGGTCTTACCGCGGTAGGAAGAAAACGTTTACAGCTGAATTTTAACAGTGAATTTGCGCCTATTTATTTGTTTAAATCAGTATTAAATTCTAACACCTAGTCCGAAAGTACAATTTGGTGGAACAATTTTCTATCGCTAATTATTGCACAAACGGATTCGAATTTTTTAAAGAAGTATTTAATTTCTAAATTAATAATTTTAGCATGCATTTAGTGGGTGGAACATACCTTACTCAAAGAGGGCTTTTATCTTTGAAATTATATTTCCCAATTTTAGTTATAACAATTTCTTAAATGATGCTCATTGTGTATCACTCGTAATCAGTAAATAGAGCTGTGGGTTTATTTTTGGTGAATTAATGATAAAAACAAAAGAAATCTCTTTAGTTTCACCTATTTGCTCATAAATAATTTCTAATTTATCGATTTTCCCCTTACCACGCAGTTATCTATTGAGTTTGTTGGCCCTCTCGAATATTCTTCCATTGTCTACATTATGTTGACAAAATTAGAACGGTAATAGGCTGACAAGTTCCCTTGTTATCCTTTTATGATTTCTTAATCAGTTATACAATTTGCGAGTGATTCATAGTTGGAATTTTGGAGTCGTTGATTAGATCAAGACTCCGTGGCTAGTTGGTATTGTGTAGACAGATAGAAATCTATGCAATCTGCTTATTCAAGATAGTACAGGGCAATCAGTATTGTTGAAGACGAGGTCACAACGGTTCTTCAATTGTCTGGCAATATTGAACTCGTGTTTGATATAATAGTAAGCGATTGTTTATGCTTAGACTGTGAAATTTCTATTTTTTTGTCAATTGCTGCACTTTATCAATCACAAATTTGGGAAACCTAAAGTCAGCTTGTTTCACATGTCATTTATGATTCAAGGTTTTTTTGCCTTGTCGACTGTCGTTCTATGTGTGTGAACTTTGAACACCTGATCAAAGGAGTGTCTCAATGTTGAAGTTATGAATCTCATTTTTATTAATTACAGTTTCCACTTTTGGTTAGAGAATATCGCAAATATTGAGATGTAGTTGGAAATTCACTGAAACGGAACCACCATTGCAAATACTCTCATTGATGGAATAAGCCTAATCTTATTCACTTTCTTCTATAACTCTTTAGGCACCAAATATACTGATAGTCGAACATTGGTCGCTCGAAATCAATCCCGTGAGGATTCTAGTTCCTCCACTTCACAAACTCTCTCCACTTCTGGAATTGGAACCTGTATGTCTATCTTTTAACTTCTAACTGTGGTAAAATTGTCTGTTGTTGTGACTCTTATTTTCCACCCAATTATGGCCTTCTGAAACATGCAATTTTGTTAGGCAAACAGGCAAAAGAAAGGTTGAAAATAAGTAGAGCATACCGCCAGTTGTGGGAGAAGAAGTTTCTCAGAAATTTGCTGAAATATTTATTTATTTCAAATGGCAGGCGTTTTGATATTTATCATTAGCCCTTTAGTTGACTTCGGACTTCACAGAGAGGAGGAGGAACATCAAAGTGAAAAGAGTCAGACTTCACAGAGAGGAGGAGGAACATCAAAGTGACAGAAAGTCGAGAGGAGGGACAGATTAATGATTGACAGATGTAAAAGAGTCAGACAGGCAAAAAGGCAGGGAAAAGGTAAGATGAGTACTGTGAAATTAGCAGAATATGACATACAGTGGGGCCATGGTAGTTTGAAGTCAGGAGTCAACTGCCAGTTTATAGACTTTTTTGCCGTATGAGTATACGTTGCCCAGTAGTACCCTTGTCACTTTGTTGATACATCCATGATCACTTTCTTAGTTGTTTTTAGTTTTAAATATAATTTCAATGGAAAACAATTTGACTGAGTAAACGGTGATTTAAATAGCCGATAATATATGCTATTTAAATAGATTTTGCAAATTGTGTCATTCAGTCGAATCAAATCGGTAAATAGCTCAATAATCAGTTTGATTCTGTTTGATCTATTTCCTCACCTTCGAATTTCAATTGAATGGAAATTATCTTCCCATTTCAGCTACCAAGCACACCGACAGCCGATCAGGTAACACTCTTTCTGTTCGCAAGAATTCAGGTTCCAATTCCAGTGCACCTCCTCTCCTAGATCGTCTCCCTTGCCAGCTTGCATATGCACCATCCTCATTGGATGCTCTTCTGGATTGGCTGCTTCTGAAGCCTTTCAAATGTCGACGAGATGAAAAAGGTGTTGAGAATGATCAGGATGTCCCAGTTTGCCCTCTTGGACCAGCGTTTAGTATCTACCTAATGTTGAGAGCAATTTGCCGCCAATGCGATAGATGGGAAGCACTTGAAAATAAGAAAATGACCCCCTCCACGGTAAGGGATTACAAGTACTTTCCAGTAAAAGCTTTAAGTGATTGCATATTCCATCACATTTTTGGTAAGAATGGATCACAGTAAGTAAGGCTCGTCTTTGGCTATCAGCTATTCCGATTTTTACCAAATAACAAAAGTGGGGAAGACACAGTTTTTTTGCAGTAAGAATCAGAAATTTCAAAATGTTTATTTATTTGTTTATATCGAATGGCAGGCGATTTGATAGTTATCATTAGCCCTTTAGTTGACTTCAGACTTCACAGAGAGGAGGAGGAGGAACATCGAAGTGAAAAATAGTCAAGAGGGGATGGGGAGAACAGAAGAGTGTTTCAATGATGTAAAAGAGATAGATACAAATGTAGAAAAAAGGTGAGGTGAGTACTGGGGAATTAGTCGAATATGACACAGTAGGGTCATAGTAGTTTGAAGTCAAAAATCAACTGTCGTATGAGTATACGTAGTCCAGGATGCAACACGTGGATCTAATTCTATTTTACACCCCAAATTTCAAAATTTAAATTGAAGAGTAGACAGTTTAGTTGATTAATTACGTTACAGAATATGCCAATTTCTAGCCTTGAAGCAGGTCTTTCCAAGTTCGCTTTACAACTCACTAGTGATCGAAATTACTCTGCGAATCAAGCACATTGAACAAAGTTCACCACATTTCGGATCGAGTAATTATTACAATAATTCGCCAATCATCGTCACCAAATTGCATTTAGAATTTTTGGCAAGCGATTTCAAATAAAACAAAGGGTGTATCAACTAACTGCCATCCTGTAAGAAAATCGACTCGCGTTTAATCATGTATTATTGTTTATCATCCTTAACGATCATGTCTAGTTTACAATTTCTGCTGAAGTGGTAACATCCGACTCTGTTTGGCCTTTTTGAGACGCCTACTTTTCTGTTTAACTTGCCTAAAATGAAAGAAATCTTTTCAGTCAAATAGACTTTCATTTTGGTTTCATTTTTTGTTGCCCAAATGTCTAATCTCCATATTCAATTTATAACGGTTAATTGTTCAACGCTCAATGCATTCTCCCCCCCAAACGGTAGACTAAACACATGCGCGCTGGTAAGGGGTAATTTGGTAAATGATAAATGAATATATACCTACTTTTTATGTAGCCGAGTTAAATCTGGTTAAGCAAGCCATTCATTAGCGCTTTTATTGCAAGTTATTTCATTTATCGGAAATAATTGGCTTAATTAAAGTGTACAATCAATATTTTCACTTTCTTTGATATAGCTGCTTTCGTGGTTACTTCTATAAAAAAGGGGGGACATTTGGTTTGTGGAGTGTGCGATAGACATACCTCCACGTGGTGCACCCTGGGCAACGTATAATCATACGGCAAAAAGGTCTATTAACCGGCAGTTGACTTCTGACTTCACAAAAAAGTCTATTAACCGGCAGTTGACTTCTGACTACTCATACGGCAAAAAGGTCTATTAACCGGCAGTTGACTTCTGACTTAAAACTACTATGGCCCAACTATTTGTCATATTCGATCATTTCACAGTACTCACCTCACCTTTTTCCACCTTTCCTACCTTCGCCTTTGAATCACTCTTCTGTTTCCCCCCCCCCCCAACTCTCGACTTTTTGTCACTTCGATGTTCCTCCTCCCCTCTGTGTAGCCTGAAGTCAACTAAAGGGCTAATGATAATCATAGAAAAGATTGCTATTTGATATAAATGAATAAATAAATACATTTGGTTAGTACCATTTTAAAACTCACCTCATATTCATTTATACCTACAGAGCGCAGAGCTGAAATCTAAGCAACGAATTCGACGACAACGCGAGCTCCTGTCGCTCTTCGTGGCAGTGACGGATCGATTGGTTTCAGTGGAGCGTCAGTTAAGCGAAGACAACATCAATTCAACTTCTCGTGCTGACTTGGAAGGCAGAGCTCAGCAAGGAGCAGCCGTACTCTCGAATGTCAGTCAGCTTCTACACTTTATTTCAAAAGATGCTGATCTTCAACGTATATTTCAGGTAGGTGTTTTTGTCTTTGTGATTTGATTTTACCTTTATCTTTGAGAGTTGTCAAGTGTCCCTTTTTTTAAACTTGTAGTCCGGTGAATACAGTAAAGACAGTGGTGAGGAATGCGGTTCAAGTTGGCTGGGTTTGGTCGATCGACTTGCCGAGTTGGTTCAATCAGTTTTCAACAATCTTCTGTCAACTTTAACATCACTAATATCCTACAAAAGATGTCTTCCTGCACTTGTTGCATCCTGGGATCTTCGAGCAAGTACCTGTCGTGAAAATGAGACAGAAGGGGGCGAAGAAGAGGAGATTGAAATCACAGATGACACTTCGATTAGTGATCTGGTATTTTAATTGAATTTTACATCATTTATGTGCCCTACATATCTTATTTATTCATGTTTTGGAGGAAATTTCTGAGTGATTTTCAGAGTCCCTTTATTAGTTTCTTCGCATTGCAGTTTAAAATTTTATTTAGTATTACGTTTTATAATGTTTTAAATCGGGCACAAATAAAGACTTTTATTTATTACCTTAACTCCACTTCAAACTCAGGTGGAGTTTATGGTTGGAATTTCGTATTTAAAGTTAATTGAAACGAAATACCGTCAACAGGCATTCTCACGATCCACTTTAAGGGTAGAAATTCTTTTAAATTTTCATTTCGGTATATAAAACTTTAAGCACTGTTTCCCTCGTTTGCGTGCAGTTAGCAGGTCTGGGGACTAATTATTGCCTTAAGTAGAAGTCTAGAAACGTCTCACCTTGAATATTGCTACGTTAGAAGGCTATCCTCCTAAGTAGGATATTTTATTGCTATCCACTCTGAAAGCAATTGAGTGTACCTCTTGATCCTGATACGAGGAAAGTTGTCATTATCTCTTCTTTTCTTTATATGATAGTTATCATTAGCCCTTCAGTTGACTACGGGCTTCACAGAGAGGAGAGACATCAAAGTCACAAAAATTCCGGAAGTGGTTGGGGGGGGGGGATAGAAGAGTTAGACTCACAGATGTAAAAGAGACAGACACAAAGGTAGAGCGTAAAGTTAGGTGGGTATTGTAGAAGTGGTCGAGTATGACATACAGTCGGGTCATGACAACTTGAAGTCAGAAGTTAACTGCTGGTTTGTAAACCTGTATGTAGCATGAGAATCTGTTGCCCAGGCTGCACCAGTTGGAGGTAAGCCTATTGCGCATCCCTTCTTAATGAAGGTGATAGATTAGACCAATTTCAATTGACCCGCTTACTGTCCTCTTTTACCATTTATCTAAAGCGATTTTCTGTTTCCTATGTACTGTATCTAGAAATGGGATTTGCTTATTGATCTACATCCAATTACTTGCTTTCCCTACAAAGTTGTGGATGTGATTCCATCGATTTCCACTGATATATAACAACTGTGTTGTGAATTCTACTCGCACCATTAAAATGTAATTTCGAGTCACTGGTAGCAAACCTGTCTCATCGGATTTGGTCTTTTCTAAGGCTAATATCTCACCCCACTCCCCCACCGAATTTGTCTTATTACAGTTTTATATGGGAACAGCGATTTTTCATTAGTTTAGATTAATCCTTCCTGATCTCTAAATCTGTATACCATTTTTGAGAAAATACAATAAATCGGTTTTCACCATTGCCTTCAGTTACCTCTGATCTTCCCATTATTTCCCTTTCTTTCCGATTTTTTTTCAGTCGGATCCTGTACTTGAAGAATTAACAAAGATCCTTGGAATACTTCATGCCAATTTAGTGAATCCAGCATTTCTGGTACAACTCTTTGCTCGTATTCTACACTACATCAGCGCTCGACTCTTCAACAGTTTGATTGAAGAACCAGTTCGCGTCTCTCCACAATGGGGTCGTCTCCTCTCCGAATGGATCTTCAAGAAGTTGGTTGGATGGGCTGAACCTCAGGGACTGCGCGTAGCAGTGGAGTGTTATCTCACTCGATTATCCCAGGTTCGTTACCTTCTCTCAATCCAAAATTGTGGGCCTTTATTATCTTGTTTCTAAAGCTGTGTGTGTAGCATTTACAATTCCGATATCTTAGAAGTTAATCATATTTGTATCCCTAGTTTAACTACATAAATGCGTTGTATTTCGCCAATTGTTTGTGTCCAGAGTTGGTGCAATAGACAACTCCGTGGTTATTTTTTTCCTGGTTGACAAATTATTAAATAATATTTAGTAGTAATGGATTCAATTTTATTGTTAAGGTTAAAATTGTCCAACTTCATTGCAGACAGAGAACATATTAAGCAGATATTGCTTTCTCTTTTTCCTTCATTAGGATTTGAACACCTCTAAGGCTTCCAATGCCATTACTGAAATACTAGCTTTTAATTATCTCCAGTGGCAATTTTAGTACAAATAAACCTAACCCGGGTAGAGGAAATGTAAGCGACATGTCGAAATCAGAACGATCTGATAATGACTTATTAAACCCCCCCCC